CGTTCGGGAGGCTTTTGATCGGACAGCTCGCGGGACAAAGGATAGGTGCGGGTCACTTAGCAGGTGTACCCACCGCGTTGACCTGATCAACGTCTGCTCCGCTGCTGCTTCAATGTCGTCGCTCAAGCCGCTCCGCCTCGTCGTCGCCTCCCGTGCTGCTATGCGCATCATACAATCGTGTTGGTCTCGCGACAGGGCTTGACGCACTGGCTCGGAATTTCACGCCGGGTAATGCAGACAAGGTAATTACCTATGGAACGGCGCGTGCGACGAGGCCGACGATGTTGCGGCAGACTTGGTCCGCAGACAATTCGTCGGGAGGAGCGACGCGTTTACAGGCTGCGGTGTGAGGCTATACTGCCTGTGACAAGGGATGAGGTGGCGGACAGACTTCCTTATGGGTCTGACAAACGATGTCGGATGCAGTACTAACGTGAAATTCTCACCACAGAGAGCTTGCGACTCAAATCCACTCCATATTCTCGCTGTTCCTCTCTTCTCAGCCTTCTCCGCGGCGTGCTTCCCCTTCTCCTGATGAAGCGACTGGGTCCGACGTCCAACTCGACTCCGTCCCCGAGCATCCCCCGCCGCTGCTCGTCATCTCGTCCGACTCCCCGCCCGCTGAGGATCTCCAGCGGTTCCTCTCTACCGGAGCAGACATCGTCATCGGGACACCAGGACGCATGGAGGAGTTTTTGCTCGGGTTGGGCAAGAACGTCGTGAGCGTGCGGGAGCTGGAGGTCCTCGTACTCGACGAAGCCGACCGGTACGTGAATCGTCAGTGCACCGCTTCGCTGGACTGACCCTTGCGCAGCCTGCTTGACCTCGGGTTTCATGCGGCTTTGACTCGCATTCTGACCCATCTGCCGAAGCAGCGCCGGACGGGACTGTTCAGCGCAACTATGACAGATGCTGATGCGTTGTCAGAGCTGGTGCGCGTCGGTCTGCGAAATCCGGCCCGCATAGTGGTCAAGGTCCAGTCGAAGAAGACGAAGGGCACTGCGAAAGGCACACGGGAATTGATAGAAGAGAGGCGAATACCTGCCAAGTAAGCATCTTCGCCAGGGGATGTCCTTCAGTACTGATCAAGTCGACAGTTTGCACAACTACTACATGTCGTGTTCGGCATCCGAGAAGATGCTGCAGCTGACACGCATCATACGGCACGAGGTGGAAACCCAGGGATCCTCCCGCTTCATCGTCTACTTCGCGACGTGCGCGTGTGTCGACTACTTTTATCGCGTAAGTGATGCGAAACGTTACTATTATGGTGTGCTGACCCATCTGCGCAGGTCCTTGCTCCGCTGCTACCGGCCCACTCGAGCTTGTTCTCGCTGCACGGGCACCTGCCGCCCAGCACTCGCACGAAGACTCTGGCCAACTTCACGACCTCTGCGGCGCTCCCCTCTTCTCCGTCCATCCTGCTGGCAACTGACGTTGCAGCGCGTGGCCTCGACCTCCCTGACGTCGACGTCGTCATACAGTTTGACCCGCCTACCGACACGAAGTCGTTCTCGCACCGCTGCGGGCGCACTGCGCGTGCAGGCCGCAGCGGGACAGCATGGGTGCTCCTCGTCGGGCGCGAGGTCGACTACGTTGAGTTCATGGCGGTCCGCAAGATCCCCATGAAAGAGCGGCCTCGATTCTCCCGGGATGGCACCGCTGTCTCGGCGGATGACATGGATACCGAAGACCCGGACATCTCCCGTGTGCTCGCTTCCATACGGCAGCAGGTGCTGACCGACCGGGCATTGAACGACAAGGTCAGACCCACCGCTCGCTCTCAGGGTCTGCAGTACTGACTGTATGTGTAGGCTGCGAAGGCATTCGTGTCGTTCGTCCGCGCGTACTCGAAGCACGAGGCGTCGTACATCTTCCGGGTGAAAGACTTGGACTTTGTCGGGCTGGCGAAGAGTTTCGGGCTCCTCCGACTGCCACGAATGCCGGAGCTGAAGGACATCTCGAGGGACGGCTGGGAAGACGCCGACGTGGACGTAAGTATCCGTGTTCGGTATGCGATGTGCGCCTGCTGACTCCGTCGCTGTACGATCCAGTGGAATGCGTATGCCTATGCGGACAAGGCACAGGAGGCCAAGCGACTCGCCGAGGCTTCCAAGGCCGCACCCGACGCCGAGGAGATCAGGAGACGTAAGGAGGAGCGGGCAGAGAAGGAGAAGGCCAACCTCGCATGGAGCAACAAGGAAAGGAAGAGAGAGGAGCGTGACAAGCGGCGCGAGAAGAAGGCTCGGAAGAGGAAATGGCAGAAGATGCAGGCAGATCCTGAGGCGGGCACGAAGCGAGGGCAGGAAGACACGGGGGAGAGCGAGGAGGACGGGGACGACTGGGAGGCGCTGGCGAAGGAGGAGAGGATGGCGAAGCGGGTGAAGAAGGGCCAAGTGAGCCAGCGCGAGTTCGACGCCGAGTTCGCAGATCTGTAGCGCCATTGCCTATCGTAACCATCTCCTTGTACGCGATTATGTACATACTTTTATTCCGCGCGTGTCATCCGCGTCACCTCTTCCGGATCGACGCTGCAAATCCCTCCCCGAAAACTGGGCTTCGGCGCCAACAACCTTGAGCCGCTACATTGTCTGTACCGTACTCTTCCTCCTCCCTCCCCTATCCTCCTCTCCCCCTTCTCCCCCCTCTGCACCGTCCGTCGTCGCTGGCATTATCTCGACATGCCCGGTGGCTGGAAGGGCCGCGGATGGAAAACGCGTCGATGTTATGTACGTCCCACCTGTCTGCACCCATACTCCTCCGCGTTGCTTGTGTATATAGCTGCGTTTAACCACCTTCTGCGTGCTTAGTATTACGACAACGACGGTACACCACTCACAAGGTATGACGATAAGAAGGGATGCCATTTGGGCACTGAGTGCAGTTATGCCCATCCCGAAGACAAGCAGTGGGCAATGGCCTCAGTGCCGATGAACCGCGGTAGAAGTGGACGGTCGCGTTCGCATTCCCCTTATGGACCACCACCGCCGCCGCCAGGGATGCCTCCGCCGCCGCCTCCGTCCACGACAAAGGAATTGCCGCCCAAGAGTATAGAACGCGTCCTGAGCGCGTCTTCCGCGCACGGCTCAGACCGTGACCGCGACCGAGCACGCTCCCCGTCTCGCACCCGCCACGGACGCCCGCGCGACAGCTCCCTGGGTGCTTCTTCCATTGCGTCTTCCTCAGACACACGTATTCGCAACACGTCGTCGTATTCCAGTTTGCCCGCGCCAGAGCGCCGGGAAGAGGAGCGGATGCGGTACAGGGACGAGGACAGGAAGCGGGACGACGGGAGGCGCAGGGACGACGACAGACGGTATGACGATCGAAGAAGAGACAGGGAGGACGACAGGAGACGGGAGGATGAGCGGAGACGACGTGACGATCGGTCGCGCGAGCGGGCCAGTCAGTCGACATCTCGCTCTCACTCGCAGCGACCGAGGGAGGTGCCGGAGGAGGAGCGGCGCAGGATATGGCTGGACCGCGTCAAGTGAGTAGATCTGACTTTTATTGTCCGCCACGGCACTCAAGGTGTTGACTGTGTACTGCGCACGCTCTGCCCCAGAGTCTTGACGGAGTCCGTCATTGCGCGTGGAGAAATTGTACGCATCCATGAAGATGTTTTGAAGTACGAGCGATTTTCCAAGTCTGTGGGCTACGAACTTCTCGAGGGCGCGGACAAGGTCGCGATGGAGGAGCTGATCGCCACCATGAAGCAACGAGCCCAGGAGAAGCAGGCAGAGCTCGACGCGACCCTCTCGAAGCTCATTCCTTCAGATTACTACCCCTTCGTGGCACCACCGTCATCTCGATCAAGCGACGCAGCGTTCGAAAAGATGACCCAATCTCTCTCCGCTCTACGCAGGGACGTCGAGGCGCTCTTTGCGCACGTCGAGAAGCTCCGCGCTGTGGCTGCCTCCGTCACCCTGCCAGCTCCTGCTGCTACCGTCGCCCCTACCGCAATCGCGGGCCCCTCCTCGCAACCGGAAGCCGGCGAGATATCGGCTGATCGTCCCAAGAAACGCCGCCGTCGCTCGATAGACCAGAGCACGGAGCCGAGCACGCAGGTCTCCGATCCCACTGCCGCCGACTTCGATGTCCTCAAGGACCGCCTTGTATCTCTGGACGGCCGTATAGCCGGCCTGGAGAACGACCTGCTGCAGTACGACAACAACGTTGCGGACGAGGTGGAAGCCCAACTCGACTACCGCGGCATCTCAAGGAGCCTGGAGGGCGCTTCCAACGCCGAGCTGACAGAGAGGTACGAGAAGCTCGAGCGAGGAGTCGGCGATGCGGGAAGCAGCGCAGGAGAGATCACGGCCGGGCTGGAACAGCTCAGGCTCGACGGCGTTGCCCAGGACGCCAAGTACGACGACCTGCAGAGAGAGAACAAGGAGCTTCAAGCACATATCATCAAGGTATGCCCTGAGCGAGCTCCACACACAGCGAACTCGACGCTTACTCACATCGCTGCAGCTTCAACAAAACCAGACAGAGATCATGCGGAAGCTCGAGGAGAAGCGAAATACGCTCGAGGCCCTCACCGCTGCCGTCACCGCGTTCATTTCTCAGCCGCCCCAACCGCCAGCTCCCCAACCCACATCCATTACTGAGATCGTTTCAACAGTTCAACCTCGTCTGCTCCGCGCCGTGCGAGACGACATCCAGCCGCTCCTCAGCGATCTCCAAGCGGAGATCGACAAGCTTCTGAAGGACCAGATGAACGAGGTCAATGGTACCCTCATGGCCCAGATATCTCCCACTATACGTGCGGTTGAGGCCATCTCTGCCTGGGTTGACAGGTATAGACAACCTCCAACGGTCGGGAACGCTGCGACTGTTCCACCGGGACCTCCTCCATCTGTCGCACGCCTCCCATAGCATGCACCTTCTTCTCACTTGGCAACTCCGTCTGCTTGTGTTCTGCACATATTGAATTCCACTTTCCGTCATACATATGTGCGTGATTAAAACGACAGGCAAGTAAAAGGGAGCAATAATGGTCCCTCCGAGGATTGAACTCGGAACCCTTGCATTGGCTTGCAGGCAGAGATAACCCTATAAGTACAAAGCTCTAACCAGTTGAGCTAAGGGACCGCAACGTAGCGGCGATCTTGACGCATCACATAGGAGTGTCACCAGTACCAGGAGGTAGGGAGGATAGGATGAAGGAAGGAACGATGCAACAGAAGCGGGGCAGAACAGGCCGAACAAAAGTATAATCTGATCATACTCCAGGATCAGTCTCCTCCTCGCGCACCCCGCCCGATGTAATACGGATGAAGCGTGTTCCAACACGCTGTCCTTGCTCGGGTGAGTGTGTAATCCACACGATGGACTTGAGCTTTGAGTCTGGCGACTTGACCTCGGCGGCGAGGTGTCTCTCAACCTTACCCGAAGACTCAGAGTCCAATGCCGAGGTAGGTTCTGTACAGAGAGCCATCAGCCCCCCTAAGTCACGAACGCAGCCGGTACGCACCATCTAGCAGCAGAACCTCGGCCGACGCTATTCCCACCGCGATCGCAAGCACGATGCGTTGTGCCTCTCCGCCGCTCAAGTTGGTCCACGACCTGTCCCAGAGCTCGCGATCTATGCCCCAGGACTCGGCAATCTCGAACGCTTCGTGTCTAGACAGGTCAGGTTCCGAGGATCTGAGGGCGTCTGAAACTGCGGATGCTGCCTTGGAGGACACCGAGCTGGACTTGTGCACGCCGAAGGTGTAGACGGTCCTGATGAAGTCTCGTGGCGTCCCAGGTAGCATCGACGGTCGCTGGGGCACGTACATGACCCGAGTGCGGAAGGTGGGAATTCCTGGGATGGCTGTTATGTGAGCCTACGGCATGCGCGTGCTAGGGTTTAGTCAACTGACCGTGTTGCTGTGGTTTCCTATGTAGCACATGCATTGTCATTTTCGCCGGACATGCCTCAGGGAAGGTGACTTACTGGCCGCGATACAAAACCTCCCCTTCGTAGATGTTGAGGTGGGATACACATTTGAGCAGCGTGGACTTGCTGAGCACGTCGTCAGAACGGCTGACGTGTATATGAGGCAGAGAACTCACCCGGAGCCACTCTTTCCTTGAAGGACAAGGATGTCACCCTCGTTAAGTACGAGGTTGACGTCAGTGAACACCGGTTGTCCCTTTTCCTTGTACCATGCCAGTTTCTTCAACTCGAGTATGGGAGTGGTTGCCATGGCGTCAACGTCGGCTCGCAGGTCGCTGTATGCTCGTCGTCAACGTGGTGGTTCTAAGTTATGTTCGGTCTGCAGCGGGAAGCTTGGAACTGGTTTAGGCAGGTGACGTAGTTGACACTACGGATTGGCGCTCAAGGACGTTGTCGCTGTCGTATAAGTAAAGAGCACGAGCAGCCGCGTCTAGATATCTATCACGTATCATTACTCGTATTTGTCTAACATGTATAAGTGCGGTAGTACAGCATGAACAGAACAAGAAAGCGTACGATGTTACAGGGTATGTACTCTAGTCTAAAATGATGTTTAACAAACTACTGATGTGGGAAGTTCGGGTTCTGCGCCTGGCCATGAGCAGCAGCATACTGCTGTTGCTGTTGCTGTTGTTGCTGTTGCTGCTGCTGCTGACGCATCTGCTACAACCGTCTCAATACTAATCAACACGGGTAGACCGCCCGCGACTTACCTGCGCCAGGAGGGCCTGTATCTGCTCGGGCGTCACCCGCCCTTGCAAATTATGCTGTAGGTTCTGCATCTGCATGTAATATTGTGCCGCGGCGACGTTCGCCATGTTGGGCATGTGCAGCAGGGGGTTCACCGGAACGCTTTGCACGGGCTGACCAGGCACCGAAGGAGGTCTTTGCAGAGCGTTGGCGTTGGCGGGGCTAGCAGCGGGCAATGGAGGCGACTGCTGCGGTAAACCGGGAGAGGAGCTGGTCGCTCGAGCAGCGAAGGACGGCGAGAGATGCACTGCGCTGAGCGCCGGGGCGGCCGCAGTCAGTGCAGCAGAAGCGTTCGACACGGGGGTGACCTGCGCTTGAGGCACCTGGCCCTGTCCTTGACCGGACTGTGCTTGATTTTGGGCTTGCATTTGCGCCTGTAAGGCGCGGAGATTTGCCGCTTGCGTGGCTGAGATGTGTGGCGGGGACATTCGAGTACTCGCGAGGTGGGCGGCCATTCTTTGCTGAGATTGCGATATCCCGACCTGAGGTTGTGCACGCATTTGCTGAGCGATCTGTGCCTGTGGGACACCGTTTGCGGTTCTGGGCACGCCGTTCGGAGTCGCACCTTGCGGCAGCATCTGTGGTGCCTGCGGTTGCTGACAGACAGAAGACGGTGAGAATGTGCACGTAACACGACACCAGGTGTGGCACATACGGCATTGGAACCAACACGTTGCTGTTGTTCTCGTATCGCGTGCTGTCGAGACAGTTCGTCATTTTTCTTGTTGCGAAGGAACAATTCGTGGGCATCTCTCGCCTCCTTGTCTGCCTTCATCCGACTCAGCTCGGCTGGCGTGTACCTTGGCAATTTCGTGAATTGACCATGTGTGTCGTGTACCACAGAGGCTTTCTGCCGCGGGGCAGCTGCACAGCACTGAGCCGTCTAGCCCTCATAACCGGATAACAGAGGACGCACCATTGGACTTCTGCACGGCCTCTCTTCGCTTTGCTGCCTTACGCAGAGTGTCGTGCATCACCGCGTGTCTACGACGCTTTCGGGGCTCGTGCGGCATCGCAGAGTTCGCGGAACTGCTCCCGGAGGCAGTCAACATCTGACTTGCGGTACGCTTCCTGGTCGTCATATGAGAGGATGACGAGGCAGCAGCAGGGCCGTTCTCCTCCGTGGCTTCCGCGCGAGCCTGCGCGCTGAACTTCTCCTTCCAGCGCTCCAAGCACTCCCATGCGGTGCGCTTGTCAGTCGAGATGGTGACTCGCGATGAGTTGAACATGTCGGCAATGAGATTCCAGTTGTACGCATACTTCTCGACTGCTTGTTTGAGGAGAGCATCTTCCGCCGGGGTCCAGGCAACGGCTTCGTTGTGATGGTCGGCATTGCGTTTGCGAACGTCCCTAGGAGGCGCAGGCACGAGCATAGGATGACCGGGGGGTATGTTCGGCTTGTTGCCCGTCCCCTCGAAGAGAGCTATGATAGCGATTCAGCACAATCCAGTGTTGGAATATACATGAGAGATCACTTACAGCAGAGGTTCTCATCGAGAGGACGAGCTGGAGGCACCTCCACATCAGCGAACACCGGCGTGGGCTCGATGGGCGTCCAATGACCGTCCTTGAAGTGAACGGCGGGCTTCACAGTATCGATAAGTGCAGGCTTCACGAACATGAACTTGCTAACGGGTACGATCTTGGTGTACGTTGCATCTTCGGCCCGCTTGTTCGGATCGTCCTTATCAGTCTTGCGTTCTGACTTCTTCCGGATCTCGGTAGTAGGCGCAACATCGAGCATACCGTATAGCTGAAGGTCGGGGAAGATAGCTGTGAGGTCATGAGGCGCATGAGATGGTGTTGCGGCGGAAGTAGCCAAAGCGTCGTCGGTGGACAGCTCCGACATGCTCTTGACGAGGTCCAGGTCGTCGAGGTCGACGAAGAGCTTGTCGACATCAGAGTAGACGATGTGCTCCCGAACAGCAGCGAACTGGTTGATCTTGTGCTTGGTCTTCCCGTGCGCGCCTTCTCCGTCTCTCCCTGAGGTGCCGAAAACAGGATTCTTCGAGGAGGACTTCAGCCCTGGATGAGATTCAGGAGCGCCATGTGTTGACGTCGACGGGTTGGCAGACTTCGCCGCCTCAGGTTGAGATGGCTTCTTCCCATCGACATCCATCGCGGTCTCATCCTGGTCGACAACGCCACCTCTTCCCTTGAGCGCTGTGAGGTCCTCGATCTCTTCAACTTTCGGCTTCAGAGAGACCCCATCAGGCTGTGTGTTGGACCCATCATCCTGCTCTTCGAGTTGTTTGAGCGCGTCCTGGAGTGCTGCAGAAGGGTCAAGGGAGTCGACCGCATCTTTGTCCTGTTCGTCTTCGCTTTCGTCATCAGACGCATAGCCGTCCAGGGGAGTGCCCGTCTCTCTAGACGACTGAAGACCGTTCTCGTCCGTGTCCTGGGTGAAGAGCCCCTCAGCTTGGTCTCCCTCGCTCGCGTCCGCCATCTCGGTGTCTTCTGGTGGAGGCCGCTTCCACAATACGACAATCCCTCGGCGTACGCGCTCCTCCGATGACCCCGCTTCATGCCACTCCACAACAGCATGAGCGAGGGTGAAAGCCAGGGCGAGCTTCCACCTGCGTTCTTCTCGGAAATCTGTTCGCATCCACTTCTGCAGCCGATCGTCAGAGACGGCGAACAAAAGGATTTATTTGACTAACCATCTCGTCCAGAACATAGTCCCAGTGAGTCTTGGTCAGGCCTCCGAGACCACGTTGTTTCCTCGGTTGGCGGAAACTCCACGCCTCGCTTTCTTTGAGCCTCTCGATGCGGTCGAACACACGAAGAAGGCGCAACTCAGTCATGCCCACCTGAAAATTCGCCAGAGACGCTAAGAATATTGTCTGTATAATCCGTAGCAATCCACACTTACCGACCAGTCCCGGGTACTCAACGCTTTAGACGCCTTGGCCAATTTCGTGTGCACCGGATTGGCCTTCAGGACGGCGGCCCACTTATTCAGAGGCATCGGCTGCCACTCTTTCACTTCTCCCTTGTCTTTTTTACGCTTCGACATCTTACGACGCGAGAACTCGATAGGTAGCAAATTCATCGGAGGCAGCGGGTACGGAGGGTCAGGGCCGAAGGGGGGCGGAGGCTCAGAAGATTCCTCGAACGACATGAGCTCGTCCGGCCCGAGAGCAAAGGCGTAGGAGACTGACGGCTCGAGAGAGGGGAGTGGGATCGAGTAGTCGATGGCAGGATGGTCCTCAACATCAGCAGGTGCCGGCGACGAGCGGGGCTGAGAAGGACCCAGGATGTCCATGATCTGGTCTTCGCTGCGTTCCTTGGAAACCTGGGTGGGCGCTGAGACTGCCGGCGTCCAGGATGCCGACTCTTGGGCAGGAAATGAGAGAGCTTCCTGCGTCTGCGTTCCGCTGTCTTCTATTACTTCGTCATC